CCCCGCCCCAGGCCTACAGAATCTGGAGCTCCGGGGCTTCCAGAATCAGCCTTCCACACTACAGTCTGGGAGCCACTGCGCCACAGCATGATCTGTTAAGAATCTTTAGAAAAGTGGACTTCAAGGGCAATTTGAGGATTTTGATTAAAATCTTAAGTCTCCTGCATTGGAGCTTCTGACACACCTCCGTTTACACATCAAAACGATCACATTTTCTGTGTGTGTCACCAGAGTTCTGTTCTCTGAGTTCTCCCAGACTGGAGCCTCTCCTTTCTCTGAGCTGAGATCCTGCAGCCTCCACTGGGCATCACACCCTCTCCTTGGTCTTCTGAACCCTGTGCTGGGGCTTGAAGAGAACCCCTTCTCCCACCTTGGTGCCTCTGGCTTTGAGTTACACATAGACCTCACTGGCCTTGAAGCATATCTATTTTCACCACATGTTAGGAGAGTCTAATGCGTGGGCATCCCAAATTTAATCAATCTCTGTCACTTAAAGTTTAGGTTTTTCCCTAAATTTTAAAATTAATTAATTAATCTATTAATTTATTTAATGGAGGTACTGGGGATTGAACCCAGGACCTCATGCATGCTAAGCATGCACCCTACCACTGAGCTATACCCCCCCAATTTCCATTTTGTGTAATTCACAAAATAAATTTTTTTAATCTTTCTTGATTATTGTTAGTTCTTATTTTGTAAGTAGCCTGTTTCATGTCATTGTTTATTTTCCTATCAGGGTATTCATCTTCTCATTGTTGATTATAATAGCTTTTTACATATGAAAGCTATAAATGCCTTACATGTGTTACAAATATTTTCCTCAATTATTATCTGCCTTTTAATTTGATTCAGTAAGATTTGAGATGCATAAAGAAGGAACAGAGGTGCCTTGAGATGTCGCCTGGAACTGAACACCAGGTCTGGCATTCGTGTTTCATCCAGACTTTCAAAACAAAGCCCCCATCCATCCTCTCACTTACCCTCCCACCAACAGCCGTAAAGAAGGTGCGGGGAGAATGACCGGTTTGGATCTCCGGTGAGGAGCCCGAAGCAGAGCGAGGTTCATGACTTACCTGCTGAGGCATGTCTGGTTAGTGGAAGGACAAAGGTGAGACCTCCAGACTCATGGCTCCCAACTCAGGAGCCTTCCAGAAACCACCAGAGGAAGGAGGTGTCAAAGAGCAGGCTGTCTACTCACCTTCCTGTAGATGGCAAATATGGTTCCGATGGAAGCCAGGCAGTCGATGTTGGAGGATCCATCCAGCGGGTCAAAGCAGACCACGTATTTACCCTGTGTGCACAGAGGCAGAACCACCTGATCAGGTCACCTTCCCATCAACACCCTTTAGGGAAGCGGCCGTGTGTGGCAGATGACAGCACATCAAAAGCCATTTAGAGCCAAGGGATATCCTTACTAAAAAGCACAGTTACTTAAGGAGGGCAGTGTATCAGCATACGTGAATTGTGCAGCCTAGAGCCTACCTGCCCATAAACAGATGAGCTGACACCTCCATGCAGCGATAGAGGTCCCCCGCACCTCCAGGTGGCTCTCCTCCCACCTGCTCTGGCCCCGTCCTCCCCTCCTACCTAGGCACCAGTGGGGACCTGACTCAGAGCTGCTGAGGGTGTGACAGGAAGCAGATGTGAAATTAACACCTTGCAGAAGCTGAAAATGAACTTGGACGAGTCTACCCATGTCCACAGGGAGGTGGGCTATTGACTTAGTGACCATTCTTTCTCAGCCTCTCCTCAGAAGGCTTTTTTTTCATTTTGGCACATTTTTACCAAAAGAAAATCTCAGAACAATGTCCCAGGGTCTCTGGGTCTGTCTTACTAGGATAGCTGGTCTGTAAAAACACCTCAGGAGAATAGAAATACTCCTCTGGAGTGCATCCATCCTACCTTTCCTACCCGAAGACCAGAAGACCGAGCAGGCGGGGTCTTGAGTTACCATGTCCCTTGGGCCCACCCATGGTGCTGTCACAGGCCAATGCTCAGTGGAAAGAAATCACCAGGCATTTTTACAGGCGTCCTATGTCCAAGGTTCTGTGAGAGCCTTAGTGATGGGAGACTGGGGTCTCCTGGCTAATTAAATCCTGGTAATAAAACATCA